TGACAGACAGGCTACAAATCAGGAGTTCCCACTGCCCACCTCAAGTTTAGTCATTTACTAGAACAGCTCACAGACTCAGGAGGATGCTTTACATACATTTGCTGATTTAACACAAAGGTCACAACTCAGAACTGTCAAGTTGGGGGAGAGGCAAGGGGCAGGTGTGGAGGGTTGGCCCAGAGCTTCTGTGCCTCTTTGATGAGGGTGCCACCTTCTCGGTACCTGCTGTGCTTGCCAGCCTGCAAACACTTTGCAGTGAATCTTGTCCAAACTTTACAGAACTGAATCTTCACTTTTCCAAACCCCTTTCCCATATCTTGGTGAGTGGGGTTACAAGTTGTCCCCCTCGGGTCACTTGGTCTTCCTGTGGCCAAACCCATCTGGAGGCTATCTATCTAAGGTCCAACCCCAAAGCACCTCAGCAGCCGAAACTCAGGGGTGATCAACAGGAACTCATGAGGAATAGCAAAAGACACTCCCATCATCAGGGAATCCCAGGAGTTTTAAGAGTTTTGTTATAGGAGCCAGGGACAATGACAAAAAATATGTTGTTATATTATAGTCAGTAAACAAATGTACAAATAAGCAAGCAAATAACATTATGACCACCAGGGATGAAACAGTATACCAACAAAATATATGGTGTTTCTGTAATATATTATCTAAAATGTCCAGCTTTCAGCCAAAAATTATGAGCCCTGCAAAGAAACAGGAAAATGTAATGGATACATAGGAAAAACAAACATCAGGCAATAGGAACTGCCTTTGAGGGGGCCCAAATTTTGGGCTTCATAGAGGTATACATATAGTCAAAGAACCAATGGAAGCCACAATTAAGGACTTAAAGGAAGATACACTGACAACCTCTCATCCAATACAGAATATTAGTAAAGCTATAGAAATTATCAGTATCAGTCATCAAGTGTAAATTCTGTGTCCAAAGTGAAAAATTTGCCAAAGGGATGTAGCAGTAGATTTGGCCTCACAAGGAACAAAAGCAGCAGACTTGAAGATAAATTGGTAGAAATTATACAATCTGAAGAACAGAGAGAAAAAAGAACAGGCAATTACATAGCATCTCAGAGATACGTAAGAGATCATTAAATGCACCAACATACACATGAAGGAAGTTTCACAAAGACAGGAGCATGAGAAACAGGCAGAAAAAATTATCCCGAAAAGTAATGGTTGCTAACTCCTAAAATTTGTTGAAAAGTACATTAATCTATATATACAGGAAGCTCAACATACCCCAAGTAGGATACAAGCATAGGCATATCATAGTCAGTATTGAAAGACAAAGAAACATAAACAGAGAGCAGCAAGAACACATACACACATACAAGACAACCCCAACAGCTAACTTTCCATCAGAATGAGGGGGCTAGAGGAAACAGGATGACAGACTTGAAATATCACAAGAAGAGAAGCGCCTGTCAGCCAAGACTCTTATGCCCAGAAAAATCTTACAGAAATTACAGTGAAATAAGCAGGGGAAATGCCCTGCCCTCCACCTCCATGTCTTCCTCCTCCTCCTCGATTGGCATAAGGACTTAGCAAAAGATTGACTCATTAGAATCCTATTAAATAATGTGGGGGCTACAGTGGCCTTGTCTTCCTCCCAATTTTATGGGAAATGTGGAGATCTGTAAAAGGGAAAGGCAAGGGCTTTGTGCAGTAATTCAGTTAGAAACAATGGAGCTGAGGGTGTCCCTTCCCTACATTTAATTCTACACAGCAGCCATGGTTATTCCTGCTTCCATTATCCCGAGAAGATAACAAAAGCTCAGGAGATCCATGATGCTCTAGGGGACAGCACATGCCTGTTGGATCTCCTAACTTGACCTTTGCTCCCTTTTACCCTACTCCCACCTCAGTACAAGTTCATAAACATGCACTACATGTCATAAATATAATTAAGATCAGAGTGAATTCTGGGACAACCAAGCATGCATACTGAGAGCCCCTAAGATGACTCAGCACCCTGTGAGTTATTCTTGTCAATCGCACCTAGAGATTCAGTGGGAGGCACCCGAAGCAGAGGTGCTTGGCCTTTACATGGTGAAAGCCTGATTTATTTGCAACCTTTTTGGTTGCTGTTGTTACATTTGTGTGATTTGACCTGTATGCATTGATTTTCTGTCACCCCAGCACATTTTTCTGTCTGTGCCCTGTCTTATGGTGGCACAGACTTGCCCTGAACACAATTTCCATGATCTTCAGTAAACATAGCTGCTTACTACTTACAACTGGGCATACACTTCACTATTCTTTCCTTGTGTGTACACAAGAACCTGATTATTATTGGCCCATTCCACTGTAACATTAGCATATCTGACTTACAAGAAATATCAATGGAAGTTCTTCGTGTTGAAATGAGTGACTTCAGGCAATTTGTATCCATAGGAGAAAACAAATAGCATTAGTGAAGATAATTATGCATGTAATTACAAAAGAGTATAATTAGATTCCTTCTTCTGAATGTCTTAAAAGCATTTACATAAAACAATTTGTATATAATTGTATTGTTGTGTCTACAGTATACAGAAATATAATATCTATGTCAGTAATAACACAAAGGAGGTAAGTGGGAGCCAAGCTGGATTGGCATAAGGACTTGCAAATGTTTGGCTCATTAGAATCCTATTAAATAATGTGGGGGCTACAGTGGCCTTGCCTTCCTCTCAATTTTATGGAAAATGTGGAGACCTGTAAAGAGGGAAAGGGAAGGACTTTGGAGTCAGACAATCGGCTTGAGTTCTTTGGGACGAAGTCATCTGCCACTTAACAAGGATACATTCTGAGGAATGTATGTGTTTGTTAGGGTTTGTATGGAGAATGTTCCCCAAAGGCTTCATTTGCTCATAGGTGGGATGTTGGAAGGTGATTTAATCTTGGGGGTGGTTCAGCTGACCTCCTGTTAGGAGATGGGGCCTGGTGGGGCCTGGTGGGGCAGGTAGGTCACTGGGGGCATGACTGGAAGGGTGTATCACGCTCCCCAGCTTCTCCCTTCACTCTCTGGTTCCTGGCCACCATGACTGGAGCAGCTTCCCTCTGCCCAGGCTTTTCCGCCATGTCATTTCTGTGTTTAAACCTGCCAGACATCGACTGAAACTTCTGAAACTGTGAGCTCATATAAACTTCTCCTCCTTAAAGTTGTGGGTGTGGGGTATTGTGTCCCAGTGATGAGAAAGTGACTAAGACAGCATTGTTAGGTGATTTAATCACTGTGTGACCATCTTGGAGTGTTGGGTATTAAACTGGGTTTTTAGAACCTTCGCTGTATCTGTTCTTGGCGTTCCTCATTGCCTTCAATGGAGCTGATTCTTTAACTTCCTCAGTCACCTGCTCTTGCCCATAGGACTGGAGATATGGTAGAACCGGATCATCACGGATTCTCCAATGCTGTATGTAGCCTTTATCACTTTTAGTTTTGTTTCCAGGTCAGTGATGATGTAGCTTCCCCCTGGCAGCATTAGCAGTGGATTTTGTAGGCTCAGGGGCCACAGTGAGCAAAAGAACAGAAGATTAAACCAAGCACAAGAGAAAACAGTACAATCAAGAGAAGCTGCTGCCAGCGCCACACACAGACTGTTTTACAGGAACTTGTGTTTAATTGAGTGCAAGGAGTGCACTCTAAAATAATGATAAAAGTCTGGTAAATACGTATGCCAGAAACACAGTCATTTATTGTTTTTATCAAGTATTGTGCACTGTGCATAAATGTCTGTGTTATACTTTTATTGATTGTGTGCTGGGTTTGTTTGCACCAACATCACACAAACATTAATGTGCTGCACCATGGTGTCACAATTGCTGTCCCCTCACTAAGTAACACCAGACTTGCATCTCCATTCTGATCTTGTGGGGACCAGTGTCCTCCTTGAGGTCCAGTGTTGATGGAAACACCATTATTCCATGCATGATTCCTTTTAGCAGTTGGAACTTGGATAAGCTGCTAGCTTCTTGGAATGTCAGTTTCTTAATTTATCAGGTGCAGCTAGTGGTAGATTATCTGACCTAGCTTTTTTGTCCTATCCATTCTTTTGAAGTATCCTTTTAAAAAATTAAAATTTTTGTTAGTCCATGTTTGCAGTATATAATGGTTGCATTCATTGTGGGGAGTTGGTACATGTATGTCATACATCTTAATTCTCTTTACTTCCCCATTCCCCTATCTATTTTTTGGTTTCCTTCCCATTTGCAAAAGATCTACTTCCTTGTTTCTTATTAACTATCTTATATTTTACTCTTTGTACTTTTGGTTTCTCAGGCACTGTTTCAGCTTATGCGTTTGATTTGACTTGCTTAGCTGAAGTATCTTTGAAAAAGATGGTGCATGGACAGAGCTGGTGGCTGCATGAGGAATGCTACTATGTGCACCCCTGGCTGCAGCCTGTCTGCTCAGATTCTTCCAAGCCGAGCTCCAGAGCACCCCTCCTACCCGAAGGCCACCCAATTCTCCTTCCCAAAGCCCCTTAAGGCAGAAGCAATCCTTCTGGCAACTTCCAAGGCCTTCATCACTACATCTTTACTTGCACTTACTACAGTCTTCCTGTGATTTGCTTTCATGAGCCATCTTCTCTTTTAGACTATGTTTGCTGATAGGAAGTCTCCTGGGTTTTCCTTTTTTATCCCGTCTCAGGATAAAATTACTCTCAGGTTAGTTACTGCATGCACTTGACTAGCATCCAGTTCCAGGTAGAGTAGCAGCAGTTCATCCCTGTTACTCATAAAGTCATATTTTATTTTTAAAAATGTTAGCTACAGAGTATTGCAGTTTTATCAAGAATGCTGGCAAATCACAGGCTTGTCATCTCACTTGCAGATTGGAAGAGGAAGGAGGAATGCTTCAAAGCCCAGAAAATGCAGACTTGCATCAAAAATATATAAATAAAAATGTACCAGTATGGCGTGTTTCTTTCTTTGGAGACCATAAAAATTGGAGTAGCCCCCCCCCCACGTTAGTTTGGTTCGCAAATGTCCGTATTGAGTATGTATTGTATGATTAGGAAAAGCCTTGCTGTTGATAATGAGGAAAACCTGCGAGCCAGCCGTGCTCGCGTTTCAAAGCTACACGGTGCTCTGACATTGCTTTGCCTTTGGATCCTGAACAAACAAAAGTTTTTACTGTTTCTCTAGGGAGCATTTAGGACAATGAGGCTTGTCTTAAATTTTTCTCTTGCAGGCTTTGCAGTGAAGGTCTCAGGGGCGCAGGTACTGCCCGCGGGAGCCTAGGAGCAGTCCACACACCCGGCGCGCAGACACCTATTGGCCAGGGGATCCTGGACCTCAACCAACGCCCCCCACCCCCAGCCGGTCGTCATAGCGACGGAGCACGCTAACAGCGGTCTGAGGAAGGCGGCTTTCTGGACACAAGGGACGATGGCGCGGAACCTATATGGCCCGCGAATCCGGATAGGAAACTGGAATGAGGACGTCTACTTGGAGGAGGTAGAGAGTGCATGACGTGCAGCAGGGGCCCCCAGGACCCGCTCCTGGCCTTAGGCCCCGCTTCCTTCTCCCACATCCGCCCTCCTGTGAGGCCTGCAAACTCCGGCCCAGGGCCCTGCTCAGTACCCACCCTCCTTCCCCTGGGCCCCGTCCCAGCTCCCTCAGCCTCTCCAGGCCTGGCCTGCGCCCCCACACCCCTCTGGAGCTGCAGCCCCTTAGGTCTCACAGGCTGTGAGCCAGGTGAGGCGGCCCAGCGCCCCTGCTCACTCTGTCCCCAGCCCTGGCGCGCACCCTCCTGAGTGACTCCAGTCCTTCGCTGACCTCTGCCAGGACTGCGTGTGCAGGGTGGGCCTCTAGTGCTGATCACCGCACACTCGGGGCTTCGCAGAGGGGAGGTGGTGGTCACCTGCCACCACACGGTTGTCCCCAGTTGGGATAATTACAGGGGATGTTGCTTTTTCTTCCTTGTGCCTTCTCAATTTTCTAAAGATTCTGCAATGATATGAACATTAAATAATGCTAAATAAAAGCTCCAACATGCTTTCTCGATTCAGGAAGCTTCTGATCCTACAGCTACCAATACCAATGCCTTTCCTACTGGGAGCTGTTGCTATCTTTGGATTTTATTCTTCTTTTCTTTATCAGGAGCTCATGAAAGACTTCTTAGAGAAGAGAGAGGAGGGGAAACTTCTCATTCAGAGAAACAGAAGACTGAAAATGCATCTTTTGAGACCGGTAATTTTAAATTTTAACATTGTTTTCCAAAATTCTGTTAAGTATGAGCATATGTGAAGCAGAAAAAATTTCCATTAAATGAGTTACCATTTGGAAAATGGTAACGTTTTGGGGAAAGCTTTTTAAATTTTTTTGAAGTCTGTGAGCCACAGTGTTTCAGATCCCTTAAGATTTAAGAACATCTGCTTTGAATTGTGTTTACTTGCATTTTCCAAGCAAAGAGATTAATGGACTAATACATTAATACCCTTAGTGGGTGCTGAAGACATTTTCAATGAATGGCAAGTAGATTAGTGATGGGGCCAACCTGTGTGATTTTCACCAGCTTCATTAGATATTATTTGGGATTATTGGGAATTTAGTCTTGGCAAAATGGAAGGGGAAGAAAGCAAGCTAAAATTTGGGGGAATCTGGTTAAAACCCTTCTGGCCAAGGTGCTAGTCTGAGAAAGAGATGGTAAGTGAGGATGGCCTCATTGGTTAAGGGATCATATGGATTATTTGAAAAATTCCTGTTAAAATTGCAGATGCAGCTTTCCGTATCTGAAGACGGATATATTCACTATGGCGACCAAGTGATGCTGGTGAATCCTGACCACCCAGAAAGGGAAGAAGCCAGTGTGTTTCTTGGCGGGGACCTGAGCCTGTGCATGACCCCAGATGAGATGCAAGCTCACTTGAGTGATGAGCTGCAATTACCCTGTGGTTTGAGTGCCGCACACACCACGGCCCCGGTCGGCAGAAACACTTTTGTCATCCTGAGGTAGAGATGCTTTGACTTCTGGCCTCTTGTCATCATCACATCTGTAGGCCTTGTAGGTTAAGGATTCCCTGGGGTCAAAGAGCTGGGGCTGGAGTAAGGTTATATGAAGGTATTCTGTGGTCTCAGCTTGCTGGCTCACCTTTCCCATTATTATGAAGGGAAGTTAACCTCAGACAGCAAGATATTGGTAATTTGTGTTCAGTTCAAAATATTTGCTTCATAATTAGTGGATCCAGGGAATTAAATTCGTATCCTGCTTGTAAGCAAAGTGGGTTTTCCTAATGGTGTCCCGGGATCTTTGTGCTGGTTGTTAACCATTGTTCTTAAACTTGCCACACTATCTTTACAACAAAAAAGATTGAGTTTTGTACTGGGTGGCAATGGATGGGATTTGTTTTTTAAAAATTAATTGTCCATGGGAAATGTACTTAGGAGATTTTTGAAAATGAGCAGTTATGTCTTTAAAGGACAAATAGAGACATAATCACAATTAAAAGCAATTGCTTTCACTTTTGTTAACTAATTTATGGTAGCAATGTTTATATGACAAGAACATAGCTGGTCCTTTAAGCCTTTGATTTAGATTTCTCTTGAGTACACATAGTTTATGTTAAAACAACTAAAACCTAAGCACAATTTCTGTTTCCTAGAGGATTAAGTGGGAAGAGTGTAGCAAAGTCTACAAATGTGTGGCCTTGGCTCTCTCTGAAAACGCCAGTGCACGTGACCGGAAGTTCTTAGTGTGCACCAGCACAGTGGGTTTAACCCATGCCAGCCAAAGTTTCCCCAAGTGTGGGTGCTATGGGTCTCAGCCAGGACAGGAAAGGGAATGTCAGCCAGATTTTAAGGCCAAAAGAATTTGTATTTAGTTCTTTAATTCAGGTATGCTATATGAATATACTTTATCAAGATAATGCATTATATACAAAATTGCATACATGAAAAGTAGAGCTGTAGAATGATTCTAACCCAGGAGTTTCACTGTACTTATTATCCACCCACAGTATAGGCAGAGATGCCACTGGCCAAGTGCTTCGGTATGGACAGGACTTTTGCCTTGGGATAACAGGAGGATTTGAAAATAAAATGGTGAGTTGTCGCTTTGCACGTCTGCTGTGAAGTATGTAGAAAGCTCCCATTTTGTGTATAAATGCTCCACTTTTGTGTATAATGCCCAACTCCAAATTAGGGATTCCATCTTTAGTATATATATATTTTTTAGTATGAATGACTGAGTCACAGAACATGAATAGGTTTAAAAGTATCGATACATATTCTTTCTGTACGAGGTTGTACCTATTTGTATTCCCAGTAACAAAAAATAAGAATGACATGAATTATATTAAATATCATCTTTAAAATCTTTGCTAAGCTGACAAGCTAAGAGAAAAAAGATGTGTAAATGTTGTAGTACTTATGAATTTTCCTCTGTTTTCTGTTACTTCTCTTCCCCTTTTCCTCCTCTTCTTTCCTCTCCTTTTCTCTCTCTCTCTTTTCACATTTGGTCATATTTTTGCCCATATTCCCTCCCCTGTGCTTTTTTTGTTGTTCTTGTTGTTGGTACCAGGGATTGAACTCAGGACCTTGTGCTTGTGAGGCAGGTGCAGTGCCACTGAGCTAAATCCCCAGCCCTTCTATGCTTTGTTTTTTAAATTATAGTTGTTCCAATATTGTATTTTTAAGTAAAATCTGTCAGAATTTTCCTATGAAATTTTTTCCATTCCTTTTAAATGGAAAAAGTTTGTTTTAGTTTTAGTTTGTTTTAGTGATCTGATAAAAAATATATTGTATTCTCTTCTATATGGTAACTTGCATCTTCTTTAAATTTATTTTTTAATTCACTTAGATTAGAATTTATTTTGATAGAATTTTATGAATCTCCATTTTCCCAAATGACCAGTCAGATCTGATATCTCCTTAATAATTATTCCTTTCTCTATTGTCACACAATGCTTCCCCCATATGCACAATGGACTATTTCTAAGCTTTCTATTTTGATCCATTGGAATATAGTTGTCTATTTTTATTCTAGGACTATAGTGTCTTAATTACTTTACCTGTGTAATATACTTTAACAGCTCATAATTGTCTTTCATTACATTGTCTGAATTGTATTAGGAAATAATTTTGCAGTAAACGTAATAATTATCTTTTTTCAAGATCCTCTACCCTTGTAAGGCAAAGAAATTACTTTGTATTTTGATTGGTATTGTCAAAGTAAGTACAGTTACATATTTAGTAGCTTTATGATTTATATTTTTCTCAGTTGTCTCTCCATCTATTCTCTTAGTAAAATTTCATATTTCTCAGTAAGAGTTTGTGGTTTGCTTCCCATGGATTTGACATATCTCATTAAAGTTGTTCCTTGGTGTCTTGTATTTTGGCCACATGGTAGGGAGGTCCTTATGATAGTGTAAATATAGAACGTTTGATCAAATGAAGAATAATTTTTCTTATAAAAATATAAGAAAACAGTTTTCATATTCACCTTTGATGAAGTCACCGTTGTTCATTCTAATAGTTTTTCAGTCAATCTTTTTCTATTTTCTAGGTAGATAGACATTTCATCTTCAAATGGTGACTCTTTTCTGTCTTCTCAGACTCTCATACCTTTAATTTCTTTTCCTTGTCTTTGAGTTAGCAAGGACTTCTGGGGCATCCATACAAAATCTGGCGGCCATATCTTCTAGCCCAGTTCCTGGTTTTATTACTGGTTTTCTTTAGTGTGGTTTGAACACAGTCTGGGATTTGAGACAGGTATTCTTTCTGCCCCTGGTTCCTGGAGCCTCTGGACAGTGCCATGATTCTCCCTGCACTCCAGGGTGCAGGCCTGGTGGACCTGGGCCCCTGTCCCAGCAGGTGCTGCTATCTGCTGAGTCCTCTACTGTCCCTTCCCAGGCACCTCTCGGCCTCCTCATTCCCAGGGCAGGCCCCTGGTCTGGCCCTTTTAGTCTCTCCTGATTTCAGACCATCCTAGATAGGGGCTGCCAGACTGATCTTTGAAAGCTCAGGCCTAGTTGCCTCTACTTTCCCTGAAAAGCAGCTATGGCTCCCCATTGCCAAGTGGAATTCTGGGCATCCACTGTGATACCTAAGGCCTACTGTAAGATGTTCCCATGCCCTGTCCGTGCTGTGCCTCTCCTTGGCACCCTGCTCCCCTCTGCCCTCATACCTCTTCCTGACTCTGCTGCTCTGCCCTTATCTCTAGGGCTTTCATGTGTGTTAGCATCATGTTACTCTGAGGAAATGCCTGAGATGATCCACTTAAACAGAGGAAAGGTGGACTTTGACTCACAGTGTTAGGGGTTGCAGTTGGGCCCCTTTGCCTTGGGCCTGTGGTGAGGCAGCTCAGTGTGGAGGGAGTTTGTGTGGAGCAAAGCCAGGCCCCCACTGTCCATTACCAGGTTGGAGTCCATGACCTGAGGTCTCCCCTCCAGGCCTTCCCCACACCCCAGCAGCACCACTGTGGGGACTGAGGCTGAAGCACACCGGGGACATCCACATCCACACGATGCCCAGTCTGTACCATCACCTGTCCTGCCAAGGGGCCACCTTCCCAGTGGTGCCCCACATTGCCATGTCTACAGAGAGTGACTAGAAACCTGTCACTCTTGTGATAGAAGCTGCTGTCACATTCAAAGTGAAGGAAACCTAGAAAGAGCAACAAGGAGCGAACACGGAGGGAGTTTTTGCAGGATGTTGGGGGGCTTTCTGGCAACAGCTGGAGTGAATTCCCAGCTGAGTCCCATTCCTGAGGTGTGCTGGAGCTCCTAGATGAGTATGAACATGCCTGAAGGGCACTTTCAGTCCATAGGTCAAGTTTCCTGCAACGTTATTTACAATAAATGAAATGCTGACTGTGTCCTTCGCCCCAAGAAGAGGAGGGAGGAGGGGTGGAGAGCAGGAAGAGAAGACTGAGAGTGTGGTGTCTGGAAGCAGGAGCTGCGGGGTGTGTGTGTGTGTGTGTGTGTGTGTGTGTGTGCGCGCCTCTGCACTTTCTCATGCAATTTCTAAGAGCAGGGCTTTGGGACACCCAACCGCCCAGCCCGCTGGGTGCTGTTACCCTAACTTTGAGAATCACCATGACTCACTTGCTTCTGTCCTTTCCAGCTGTATTTATCCAGTGACCACAGGACCCTCCTGAGATCGGCCAAGAAGTCCTGGCTCCAGGAGGTGCACCTGACAGATGAGGCTTCGCACCTGGCCTGGTGGCAGGCCGCCTTCCTCGACCCCCAGCTGCGCCTGGAGCATGAGGGCCTCCCAGTCCAGGTGAGTGCTTCGTGCACAGGCAGGTCACAGGGTCCACACTGCAGGAACAAACGCGCTCACCCTGTCTGGAAAGTGGAGGCTTCCCACAGCTCACAGCCTGTGCTACAAGGCATCCTGCTTGCGCGCTCCACCCTGGCAGCAGGGCGCAGCTTCTAAGGAAGCCAGGCCTTGCCCATAACAGGCTGAGAAGCCTGGTGTGTGACGACAAGGACTGTGGCACTGTAACCCTGTGTCCTCTGTGCTGTCTTCTTTTGGACAGGGTCACATAATCATTCTCTCTCTGTTCCTTTCTGCTTTCCTCCTTCCCTCCATCCTCTCCTTCCTCTTTCCTTCCTTCCTTCCTTCCTTCCTGTACTGGGGATTGAACCCAGGGCCTTCACACCGAGCTCTACCTTGCCATTTTTTATATATATTTTTTTGAGACAGGGTCTTGTAAAGTTAGTAAGTTGCCTGGTCTGGGGTCCAACATGCGCTCCTCCTGCTTCAGCCTTCCAGAGTGCTGGGACTGCAGATGTGTGCCGCCACACCTGGCTCATTTCTAAAAAGATGGTGTGTTTTCATCTTAGGGAAGTAAAGGAGACAGCAGGGCAGCCACCCGGGAAACACACAGTGTGCAGGACAGCCTCACTTGTGCTGTCCCTGGGGCTGTGGCACATTCCTGTGGGGCAGCAGTGGGTGTGGTGGGCACAGAGCCGGGCTCGCTGTTTCTCTGGCTGGAGGCTTGGCTGCTCGGGAGACATCTGACACGCCGAGAATGAGGCTTGTTGGGTCACTGGGAGAGCGTGGCATTACCAAGTGGCCCCCCCAGGGCCACTGTCCACTGTCTTGGAAGTGGCCACAGTAGGGGCCCCTGTGATCGCACTCGACACAGCCTGCCTGTCTCCCTGGAGCCCTGCAGGAGGACTCGCTTCACAGGCTGTCCCCGATGGAGGACTGACAGCTCTGCCTCCTGTCACCCTTTGCCCGAACTGCTCTCCTGTGAAGTGCCGTCTTTTCCACCTTTCGATCCACCAGTGCCTCAGTCTGCCTGTCTGTAGTCAGAGACATCACTGGATCCACTCAGGAGCTGTTGGGAAGACTCGAGGTTCATCTGCTCACAGGCGCACGGAGGAGCTCACCCCTGTCACAGTGGCTGGGTGCTGCTGTGGAGGTAGCAGCCAGCAGGGCTCCTTGCTCCCTTCCTGACTCACCTGAACACCTGAGCCCACACCGGCTCGGGCATGGTTGCACAGCTGCAGATGGCAGCCCAACCTGTCCCAGCTGCCTGGCACAGGCCCAGGAAGGGTGGCTGGGACAGGGCTGGGAGCACTGGGCTCTGGTGCTGGGCTCTGGTGCAGGGCTCTAGGGGGAGTCCAAGAAGTAGACTGTGCTCTGGGCTGGGTGCTGACAGGAAGCAGGGGCAACAGTGGCTGGTGCATCAGCGGCCGGCCAGACCTCCAGGGAGGGCGAGGGAAGCAAGTCCAGGCTGTCCTTAGGAAGCTGGGGTCCCTGCCTCTGGCAGCTGAGGGGTGAGGGGAGGTCGGACAGCTTGCTGCTTGGATGATGCTCACACTTTGCCTGTGCTCAGACACAATTAGGGGGGGTTCTGTTCTGGTCTTTTTTTTTT